AAAACGCAGTGGCGCCTGCACTGCTCAGTTGAAGGGCGTTCACTTCGTCGTCGCGTTTCTGAGCAGCTGGCCGATACTGCAGCGAAGTTACGCATCGCCTTGCGCGCTGAAACGCCGTCTCCCCTGATGCGAGCTTGGCAACATGAATTACGTGAACGCTTCCAGCGTTTGATTGCCGCCTCGTCTCTGGTGGCGGTTGCATGGCGTTGTAGGCACAACCCTTGTGCCCACCTTGCGGTGCTACGCTATGCGAAGCAATCGTGTTTTGGGCAGTCACAATCACTTGTTTTTAAGACCACGCAGGCACCACCTACTCAGCCGCGTCCAACGCGTGATCGATCTCTCCTTCTGGCGCATTTTCAAGAGAGATTCGCTCGCAGGATTTCAAGCTGGACGGTTGTGCCCTCGCGATCTCCGACGCCAGCGTAGCTCCCGCCGACTGGTTCGCCCTCCGCGGTCTCCTGACGCCGTGCAGCTCTCGCATTGTGCCACCCCACTCTTGGACTGCTTCGACCGGATCCCCACTTTCCTATCTCCTTTTTCCATCGCTTGCCTGTCTACTTCTCCGTCTATTTTCCTTCTATTCTTTTGATCCCTCCTTCCCCCGCCTCCTATAAGGCACTGCGCCGTGTCGCCTGAAGGCAGACAGAAATTAGGTGCCTTTTTCCTCTTTCTTCTAACCACTACCACCACCACCATTTTGAAGAGATGTCATGTTCGGCTATGCGGACAAACTGTGATATAATACCGCCTATGCTTAAAGGCTTGCCTCGCGTTTCTCAACAAGCTGCTGATTCTCTGCACGTCCCTCCATCAGTTGAAGAGGTAAAGGCAGCACTACAATCTATGAAACGGGGGACAGCCCCTGGGCCAGACGGTTTTCCAGTTGAATTTTACTTGTCATTTTGGAATGAGCTTGGTACTGCCTTAACCGCGGTTATCCGGCGATGTTTCGAGGATGGTGTCTTTCCATCAAGTTTTCGAGATGGACGCATTGTGCTTATTCCAAAAGGTGATACTTCCTCTGTTAATCCTGAAGATTGGAGACCTATCACGCTTCTTAACGTTGACTATAAGATATTCGCGACGGTGATCGTTCAGCGTTTGAAGGGGTCTGTTGAACACCCTGGTGGGTCATCACCAGGCTTCATCTATGCCTGGACGAGAAATACACAACTTGTCCTTTACCACCCGGGATATCATAGCCTATACTCTGTCGTGATCTGCGCGTGGTCTCCTTGTGTCTTTAGACCAAGAGAAAGCATTTGACCGACTAGAGCACACGTATATCTTTAAAGTTCTCACAGCCCTTGGTTTTCCTGGTACTTTTGTTGAATTAATTAGACATACCTACTCTGGTATAAAAAGCACACTAGTTCTAGATGGTTGGGAGAGTGCTGCCTTTTCTATTACACGTGGGGTCCGTCAAGGATGCCCCTTGTCTCCTGTTCTATTTGTCATCAGCCTTGAGCCATTTTTGTGGGCTCTAGAAGCGGATTCACATGTCCGGGGTCTTGCGCTTCCCGGCAGCAGTACCGTGAAAGTCACAGCTTTTGCTGACGACATAACCATGTACCTTTCAGGTGAAGATAGTCTTTCACATAGGCTGCGTTTATTCTTCAAGTATGGTGACATTTCAGGTGCCGCGCTAAACCTCTCTAAATCTCGGTATTCGTTCATCGGCTATCCCAACTTCAGACTTAGCTCCACATCTCTTCTTCAGCCGGCTGCGTCTCTTCGCATTTTATGAATTCTATACAACCACTACGGCGCTGGTGACTCCGTTTGGTCAAACGCCCTCGATGAAGTAAAACGAAAAATTGAGAACGCCCGGGATTTCGACTTCCCGCTTCTTGAGTGGAGGTACCTTGCGCAGACTGTGTTCTGCGGTCGCATTTGGTACCTTTCTCACGTGGAACAGCCGCCTTAAATTTACGCATCGTGAGGTCATTGCAGTCTGCCTTGTGTTCGTTCTTTTGGTCCGGTGGCACTGAGTTGGTTTCTCGTGTGGCGTTAGGACAGCAGCGTTCCCAGGGAGGTTTTGCTTTCCTTTCGGTATCAATGCGCTGCCGGCTATTGGCCCTGCGCTTCCTGTTGCGCCTCGTACAAGGAGAGGAATCCCCCGCCCGAACTCTGGCATATTATTTTCTAGGCACTCACCTTCAGTATTTATTGCCTAATGTGCACCTTAATTGGGGCCCACAATCAGTAGTACTTCCTTCGTTTTATGCAACAGCTGTCGCGTTTTTTCGTCATATCCAGTCGACTTGCCCTGAGTTAGATGTGTTAGACAATCCTATCGTTGACACAATAGCCGCTTTGTTGCTCCCGTTAGTTCCTCCGGCACGCCGCGCCCGCTCTAGTCGTGTGTCTTGGAGCACGCTGACGGCATCATTTCTACCTGGCCACCTCCGGGACTTCATGTGGCGGCTGGGGTGGGGCATTCTTCCAACCCTTGACCGCCTAGAAAGGTGGAGAATGGTCCATTCATCAACATGTCCGAACTGCTCGCTACGGGAAACAAATCAACATGTTCTAAGACAATGCGTCGTTGCTCGTGTCTTCTGGAGGGCTGTGCCTGCAGGATTTCGTGGCCTCAGAGTAAACCGCTTTGTTTCTTCTGGACGTTGTTCACGAGGCCACTTTGCCTGACTTCTCATTGTTGCTGGTGCCTACTGTCTTTGGCGTAACCGTTGTGAGGCTGTTGCAGCAGGTCGTCGCCGCCGTGCTCTCTTCCCAATTTTGGAGCGACTGTACAAAGAAATACTATCTGTTTTGTCGGAGGAACTCTTCTTTCTGGGTGAGGAGGAATTCCTTCGACATTGGTCCTGTCGTTTTGTGTTCGTCTTTGAGAGACGTGTAAGGCTTGTTTTCAGGCCTGCCTGGTATTGGTAGGTTAATCTTTGTTTAGTACTCATACAAATACCCTGTAAATACTATGTAAATATCTGACATATAGATATTGAGATTCATGTGTGTGTACTTCGTTTACCATGTGGTGTGCATATGTAGACATATTTTTTGTAACAACTCCTGTGTATTTGTGTATGTTGTGTTCCCTTTACATATGTAAACATATCTTTCTGTAACGACTTTTGGTGTGTCTGTGGATGTTGTGTTCTGTCGCGATGTTCTGTTGGATTGTAATTGATGTTCACTGTCTGTAAGAATAAATTTCTCTAAACACAGTAGACCTGGCAAGCGTTACATCTGGAAGGAAGAACGAAATCATAAAAGGGACGATCTATAAGAACACCAATCTATTTCTTAGCCTCTGCAAAGCGAGCTTACTGTCCGAAAACAGCATGACTTGTTATTCCCTACAAAACTTCAGTTTCTTAAGGGCTGCCTGAATTACCACGGTTTCCCATGCTGTCGATGAAACAACGCACTCCAGTCCAGGACACCTTAAGATACGGGAGTACAAGCGCTGCAGCGCTTGCTCCGCGCTCCATGTCGACCGATCCATCGGTGAAAATTTTCAAACGATCGGCGTACTTTTCTTCAACGTATTTAAGTACCGAAGAACGTACTTCTGCTCTTGGTGGGGAGTGCTTGCTGTGCATCCGTGGAATCATCACCTGACATTTGACATCTTCGCGTGTCCAAGATCACTGCAAATCCTTGGAGACTTGCACGGAATTGGTCTAACCAAAAAAAAATTCAATGGATATTACATCAGATGTGGGTATAGCGGGTAATTAGACGGCTGACAGACTTACCCGGAGTGCTTTGGAACTTACACCAACAAAGAATGCCCCCTAAGACAATCAGCGTCATTTACGAGATGCTGTCAACAGGCGTTTACACTCTTCATGGCTGACGCCTCACCGGACGTGTGTGACAAAAAGGCTATCAAGGGAAGAGGTCTGCTTGCTTTATCGCATCCGAACGTGATCAGCGCGTACACCACCATGGCTTCACAAGATCGGACTCTCCACGACGCCATTGTGCCCGAATTTCAAGGAACGTGATGATAAAGAAAACTATTTGCTTAAGTGTCGTGAGCTTAAGGAACGGCAACGTTTTTTTAAGGACCTGCAACGTTTAGGCTCGCAGCACGACAGCATAACTGATATTGTGTTTCGGCGTGGTCCCTGGATCTCCAGGAAGCAGGTGTCACGACTTCTCTTGAAGTTTTTGAATGCTACAGACTTCGCTTGTGACTGGTGATGAGTGACAATTATGTTGGGGTAGGGTGCAGTGAGATAAGGGCATGATCCTGCATGTGGAATAGGACAGAAGCTGCCAGCTTATGCAGTGTTACGCCACGCTACGCGCGACTTTCCAAGAGCCTGCCCGGGCTTAGTTACAAAATCACAGCATATCCACGGAGTGAATGATGATGAGTGGGGCGAAACGTCCCTACGTCCGTCCATGCGTCAAACGTACAAACAGACAGACGACGGATGGACGCGGCCAGCGGAAGATTCATGGTTTGCCGATAAAACCCTCCGAATGTTCACCCCACTCACCATCATTCACTCCGTGGATATGCTGTGAGGTAGTTACTACATACATACATTCATACCGGTCATGACCGGCCCACGCCTTAAGGAGCTTCGCCCCTAAAACAAACACACAAAATGACATTAGTTACAACTAGCAAAGAGGTAACCGGGCGGGAAAATCGTCTGCTAGTTATGGAAGGCTTTGTCTGCCGGCCACCTACAACATCCTAGTCCTAGTATAAGAACACCATGTGGGCAACCATATAGGAAGATATGCGCAGATACAAACTTGTCCATGTTACAAAAGCCTGGCTCATCACCTCGCATGCTACTCTAGAGACCGGATTTTACGACACACGTTGTGATGGCACTATGTACCACAAGAAGTCACAAACACATAGACAAAAGAGGTATTCAGAACGGTTTCGGCAAGTTCTGTGGATCTGAGAGAAATTAATCTGAACTTCCGGAGAGATACAAGAGATCGTCGTTCCGCACGCCGCGAGGCACAACTTCTGGAGTGACTTCACGTGCTAAACATTTTCACAGGTGTTAGCATGGATGAAGAGGCACCTGCAGCTCAGCCTGAGCATCGTGGGCATTATCTTGGGCCTCATCGTCGGCTACTCGGTGGCGGCCGCCGAGCCGAACGAGGACATCACCACTCTCCTCTCGGTGCCCGGCGAAATACTTCTGAGGATGTACAAGATGCTCACGCTGCCGCTAGTCTTCTCATCCGTTGTTGCAGGTAAGTCTTACTCGCGTTATAATCTGCCTTCGCTGCAGCATAGGTTGTTGAAAAGTTTCTACCGGGGTCACTATAGACCTTTTCAAAAATGCTTCCCTGGGCGCCGCCATAGTCCTCTTTGGGCTGCGCCAATAGGCTGTGACCCCTCAAAAATGCACTGACAAGGCTGCGCCCTTAGCCTTCGTACTTCCGCGCGCAGTCCAACATGGCGGTGTTTTTCCCTCCTGTGAAAAGGTCTATATAACGTGAAGCAACGATCCAGTACCTATTAGATGCGAAGCATCTCTTTGACGTAGCCTGTGTAACGCTGTCCCTCCGTACACCCTCACTGCGCAAGCTCGCGTCTCGTGCTGGCCCGGGAAGACACCTGCAAAGCTGTCGCTCCCCTCCCCTTCTCTCGCCTCGCAAGGCCGACGCTGGCAGCGTCTGCCAGTGAAAAAACGGACTGCTCGTGCTGCACAACCGTTCGCGGGCCGCGCGTTCGAAATTTAGTCAAGTGCGTCTTTTCTTGGCTTCCGCTTGATGAGCACCAGCGTCAACGTCGCCGCCAGTGTGAGCGTTAGTGCCCGCTGTTTCGCATCTACACATGGTTCCCTTCAGCGGGAGGTGTTCCATTTTGTATTTATTCATTACTTCAATTATTTTTGTTATTTGTAACACTCACCATCATTTAGCGCCATAACAGGTGGGCATCATATTATATACAGACTTTGCGGAAAACATAAACATCCCTTCTAATGAACAGCACTTCCAATTAGATGTTGAATATAAACAAGCACAATAAAAAACCTGCGTAAGCATTTACAATAATTGTAATAATGCAGCAGAAATAAACGCGTTTAATGAGCATATTAACAATAGCTGCTCTTATAAAAAGACAAGTCAGAAAAGTAGTATTGTTCCTGTCACAATTACGTATAGGTAATGTTTCAAAACAAAACTAAGCGAGTATTAGCTATACAGTACTGAAAATTGAAGTAATCACCAATATACATAAATAAATACTTGTTTTATAGCTACTTAATTCGTCTCCCAATCACCCAACAAATCCAGTCGGCGGTAACCCGTTAGTTATAGGATCATCCAGGTTAGTCAATTCACGAATGACATGAGCAAAATGAAAACTGAGAAGTATAGTTATTGTAGGCGAATTCATTTAGTTTACACGGTTGATTATGGCAAGCTTTGCGGGATTCAGAATAACGTATGCAGACGCATTCGTTTGTTTCTATAAGCTATCGGCCATTAGTATCTAAGGTTTGTCTTCACGATTTGTCGATATCTTGTGGGTAACAAAGACATAACAAACATCATGAACCTCTTCAGTTTACGCCATTTAGCTGACGTAATTATTGTCGCTACCTTTAGTTGTATTGAATACAACCTCAGTCATCATTTATAATTGCGCAAGCTCACACTGCACACGACCTTTGCTGATGATCGCAAGTACGCCTACTTTAAACGCACATTGATGTGGTACTGCGCCGTAAATTGCAATGTTCATTCAGCACGCCTCTAAAATTTTCGCTTGTCCCTTTTTTTTGCAGCTCTGACGCGTGTAAGGCCCGGCACAGTGGGGAGGATGATGACCCGGATGATCGCCTACTACGTAGCCAGCACGATGTTGGCTGCTTTCGTCGGCATCCTTGTGGTCGCCTTGTTTAACCCCGGCAAGCAGATCCTGGAGACCGACGTCAGCAAGATTGGCGTGTCTGGTCTCGACACGTTCCTGGACTTTTTCAGGTCAGTGCTGAAGGGTTCGTGAACACGGTGAGTTGCTGGCCAAGACGTTTCGACAAGGGGACTTGTCTTCTTCAAGGCCACAACTTGGTCTTGACGAAGACGAGTCCGCTAGAAGAGACGTCGTATTCAGCGACACACCGTGTTCACGAATGTGTCATCTTATCAAGCTTGCATATTCCCGTGGGATTGAGACTTTATATGAGCAAGACGGAATTTTCTTGCCGACGTCTGCATTCCGCTGATTTTCTTTCAGGTTCGTGCGTAACTCGTAACTGCGGGAGACCATGGTAGTGCCATGTCTGCGAGTAAACAGGAAATGTCTCTTGGCCTCTCTGTTGACATAATCTGCACTCAGCATAAGCACAATTTATTGCCTGGCATACTGCGAGGGCATTTTGATACAAAATGATACAACGTTTCTGGCGTTACAGTAGAAGGCGGTATGATATGGCATAAATGGGTGATGCATTGCTTTCAAGCCCAAGCAAGACCAGACCGGTCTTGCTTGGCAATGCTCACCAATATTTTCCCGTGGTTCTGATGTTGAGCGAAGTATTCGCATCCAGTAAGGATGAAACACTCTGTTTTGGCGAACTTGTCCCCGAGAAGTGAACGACAAAGTCAAAGTGCAACAATATTGGCGCAGACAGCCGCCGGTCGTCGAAAATTCGATCAGTTCAAAGGTGCGTCGGTATTTATTCATGCGACATGAAATATTTCATGTAGGTTTGTCAGGCTTGGCTACATTGCGCCAATCTGGCTATTTTCAAGCCGGGGAAGCTAGAAAAAAATCACAGCATATTCAAGAGGTGAATGATGACGAGTGGGGCGAAGCACGGACGGACGGATGGACGGACGGACGCACGGACGGACGGACGGACGGACGGACAGACAGACAGACGGGCGGACGGATGGGCGGACGGACGGACGGACGGACGGACGGACGGACGGACAGACAGACAGACAGACAGACAGACAGGCAGACAGACAGACAGACAGACAGGCAGACAGACAGACAGACAGACAGACAGACAGACAGACAGACAGACAGACAGACGGACGGACGGACGGACGGACGCTTCGCCCCACTCATCATCATTTACTCCGTGGATATGCCGTGACACCGTTTTTATTGACGCGCAACGCAATGCAACTGGCTACTACGATGACTACGACGACACGGGACATACGATTCACAATGTAAGGAGCTTCGCCCCTAAAAATGTTTGGGTTACTCCACTACTTTTTCCATACTTTCGTTCCCTCGATTTCCGCCAACTTAATATCTGGTGACATAGCAGCACGTTGAAACATGGCGACCGAAGTGTGTTTCCAGCGCCGAAATTGAATTTGGCACTTGCATTACGCATAGAATGAACTTTGGCAAAAAGTGTTGCTCAGTAATCCAAGTAGTAGAATAGGCCAATGGGCATCAAAATAAATATGAAAATCTACACTTGTATAGCCTGCCAGTCAAGCAGACCTCGCGCACGGATTAAATGGAAATGATTTTGTATATTTGGCTGGAACCTGCTAAAAACTGTTGTATGGGCCTCATTTTGCGAACCATTCATTGCTGAACGCTACTTCAAACAATAATCAATAGCACAAAGAAAAGCGCTCCGCATCGTGGGTGCACTTATCGACGTTCGAAATCGAATCACGACGAATCGCCTTTGTAGCATCTTAATACGTAGGTTTGTGGTTCTGTAATGTTGGCTGCTCGGACTTCGTCATCATGCAAGGAGTTATGACGAAGGCAACTGCAGCTTTCGCGTCAATCCCAGCAACTGCGATGTTAAGCACGCTCATGCTGTATGATTGTTAAACTCAGCAATCTATGCTTGAATCTCGGCTATTCCGGTGGTCAAGTTGTGTTTATTTGCATTTTCTCCAGGAGACTTTCTCATTTAGTCATGTATATAACTACCAAGTTGTTTTCAACTAACTACTTTCGGCAAGTTTTACGGCCAATGCCTCAAGTTGGCTCCTTTCTGCCTTTTTTTCAACTTCTCTGGCTATCTCTTGTCTTTTAGACCTGGCAACCCTGATTGCAGGCTTATCACTGGTGGCCGCGTTAGTTCCAGAATGAACTGTATTGCACTTTAACTTGGATGAGTAGGTGCATACTCGGATAAGCTTCAGTGCGATTTAGACGAAGACCAAGGAGACACACAGAACAGAGACACAAAGAACACAGACCAGCGCTCGTCTGTGTATTGTGCGTCTCCTTGGTCTTCGTTTAAATCGCGCTGAAGCCTATCCGAACTGTATTGCTCGTCTTGTGCGCGTAATCTTATCATAAAATTTCTATATAAACGGGCATGGTCGACATTCCGTCCTTGTGCGTACAAGACAGTTGACAAAGAGATAAAGGGTCCAGTTTACGAAAATTAAAAAAGCACGTGTGAAAATATCTGTCAGTGCTTGTTCTCTACACATACTTCCGATCGCATTGTCTTTCTCTTACTTACTGCTGTGTCATCTCTTTCACCTAGAGCATGCCAGCTCACCAGCACATGAACGAGCACTTGTGATACTTAAAATTATACTTTGCATCTGCTGCTTGTGTAGACTCGCTTTGACCATAACGCATGAAACGTATGTTCCTCGTAACCTCCTGATGAGTCCTTTTTGTAGGAACATGTTTCCGGAGAACATCGTTCAAGCCTGCTTCCAACTGCACCGAACAGTTCGCATCGCCCAGCCGCCCCGCTTTGTCCCACTGGGTGTTAATGCAAGCGAGCTCGAGCCGGACATCATCAGAAAACTGCAGTACTCCGATGGCCTCAACATCTTTGGTGAGGAGGCGGCGCATGAAACCTATGCTTAGATGTCTTTGTTTCTGAAAGATCTGGTGCCGAAATCACAAAACAATTCATTGAGACTGGTCAGTTGTCTTGGCTAATTGAATTCAATTGGGTATATTCTGCAACAAATCTGCGAGGATGACCAGGCAAAAAAGCTGCGTTGAGCGGCTTAAGGGGAACCTGGCCACCTCATACACTGGGCAGCTTCACAGCGGTGAAACAGAAGCACTCAGTATGCATAATGAATGAACGAAATAAAAAAGGTAAGCACCCTCATTCACCCTTATTGAACAATGTTATCGATATTTCGCAAAGTTTCACACAAGTTAAGTGAAAGTAGGGTGTAGTCATATATACAGACGAAAAAAAAGCACCTGAACTTATTCCAGCACATCAAATTACATAAATAAGTCGTGAAGCTTTCTTGGCGATGAAATAGATACACCGAAACCAGTTTCTTTGTGTATGTCATTTACAACTGTCGTCGAACAAAACTGAAGCATTCGGTCACTGTATTTAGTTCTGCTTGTGTTAACAATCCAAGGTTCTAATTGACGTAATTCATGCAAAGAATTGCGTTTCTGTAAGGGTGCGAGTTTTGTTATGACGTCATCATTCTTAACTTTTTCCAATTTTATGCACGCGACAAAGCCTATATCTGTACAAAAGATTCAATTGTTATAGTTCAAAGCTTTCTAAACAAACGAGCAGTATGACAAAGGTATGGAGCAGTACGGCAATGATGTGTCCAACATCACGATTAGTTAGAAAGTATGTCTTGTGAACCTTTCTAGCGTAAGAGATTTTTGTGAATCGGGGTCCTGTACGTTTTACAACTACGCACCTGTTAAAGGCTCTGCCTTTATTGAATCACAATCTCCTTCGGTGGCAACGTCGCTACGCTGCTGGCCCGAATTTCGCGAGTTCCATCCTGACCGGGGCAGTCATATTCGATGGAGACGAAGTGCTAAAGGCCCTGCACTGTGCGATGCCCGCTTAAAGAAAGAACACCAGGCGGTCTAAATTTCCGGAGCCTTCAACTACGGTGGCTATCATGGATTCTGGCACGTAAACCTCCATATATTGTTAGTTCAATTAATCAAACGATTGAACGAGAATAACCGTTGATGCAGTTACCTGTTGAAATTAAACGTTTTGCCGCCTTTCACAAGCCATTTTTCTTGAAGCACCAACTGCTAATCGTTTCTCAAATAGTAAATTCTGTGACTACCCCAGCCGGAATAGACGAGTCTTGAATGCGCCTAAATTACCGGAGGTCTATGCACTCACTGAGCCTGAAAACAAGCAGTTCAATTTTTTTGCAAGAAATTCTTCTCGGTTTTCGATCCTGCACGTGAACTAATCAAATCAAATCTAATGATATTCCTTTGCCCGACATCCGCAGCTAGGACTTACGGCTAGAGAGTGTTTTCGAGCCATTCTGTAACAGTTTCTTTCGACCTCCGATTGCACACAAATTCACTATTACCAACTTGTAGCCATCGTGAAGCTGTTTCAAATACAGCATCTTGCTCTCAATAACACATTTAAACTCTTTCTTGTTCCACGAATCATGGCGAACTTAATGGCCCAAGCCGACAACTTGGTTACATAATGTACGGATGGATAGTTGTATTCTCAGTTTCAGACTTTGGTTTGCTTATAGGTTTCGTATATTGCCATCTTTCATCTCTTTGACCATCCCTGCGTAGGAATCGATGGTCACTATGTGATATAATGATTAATAATAGCTAATTACTGTATCATGACCCAAACAGAGATAAAGAAACGAAAGTCCTCAAGCTCTTCCTGGGAACACGAAATTTATATGAACAACCGCCTGCATTATATTCCCTGTTGGCTGTCTTAGAAATTCTAGTTTTCTGTGGGCCACAGGTTAAGCATGTGCAACGTGCCGCCAGTGATTTCATGGCGTAATATGTATAGTTCAGGGATTGACTAAGCTTCCCTTTGTAAGAAACAAACTCATGCAGTGATTATACTTCACTGCAGTGTGGTAATTCCGATTCATTATAAACGCAAGTGTGGCGTTGCAGGAAGAAAAAAAAAGTTTTTCAAATCCAACGCAAATGTAGTCCTCGTGTAGTGACTGCTGTGGTCCTAAATCTTGTGCTGAATGCAGCTCCGCTAAAGCTGTGGAAGTTTGTATCAAGGGCGCCCGCTGATTCCCGTAGTAGCGCTGTTGTTAGTCTCTGTCTATTGTTGATATCTCGCTGGAATTCGCGACACTGGCGCCAGAAAAGTGCTGGTGGGAGGAGCCATCACGTACCTGGTGCACTCCCTTGCGCGGCGCGGGCCGTAGTTTTTTTTAATGTTTTTAGCAATCTCAAGTCAATTTGGCGTTTAATAGACATTGTCCTTTTATCATAGGCTGGTTTTGAGCACTGATAGCTTCGTTTCAGGTAATCATGCCACACGAAATCTATGAATGTATACGACAAGCCGAGCTCGTAAGGTGCTACGCCCACAAGAGAAAAGAAAGTGGCGTGGGATTATATATGTAGGATTTAGAGATTAAACGTACAAAGAGTCAACTTAGGCTGGCAGTTTACAAATCACTGAACCATGTTCAGCTGTGAAATGTTCGCCTCTTTCTAATCCGCAAGTTCTGCAAGTGGATCCTCAGTGACACGACTTCCTTTTCTCGGACAGGAATCATCGTTTTCTGCTCCGCGTTCGGCTTATTCGCCGGCTTCATGGGCGAAACGACCGTCATCATGGTGGACTTCTTTTCCGTGCTGAACGTACTCACCATGAAGCTGGCTTACCTGGTAATGTGGTGAGTACTTCCTACTTTAGCGACCGCAGAGAGAGAAACAGGGGGAAAAGGCAGACAGGTAAACCAAGCTAGGTTTGGTTGGCTATCCTACATGCGAGGTGGTGCAAAGAGGGAATAATAGAAGAAAGAAAAGAGAATGAACTGTTAATGAGAACACACACGATACAAACTATCGCTGGTATACAGTTCATAGACGCTGGTGAAGTCCGGTCACCTTCAGGTAGCTCTGTATGTCTTTCCTGGTCTTGCGCATGTCCGAAACCGTGGGCCAGGCTCAAAGGATCACCTCTCCGGACAGTGGTCTTGCATCAAGACGATCGAGTTTGGCTCCGAGAACACGTTGTGGAGTCTGATGAGATAGCGACAAACGTTGCAATTGATGAAACATCGGAAAGAATAATGATGAAGTGAGACGACAAACAAGGAACTGAACTGCGTCCTTGTTCGCACCCTCCATAAGCAGATAATGCAGTGTGTTTCTTCGGTCAGTGCCCTATTAGAACTACGGAAGCACAGCTACCTACGATCAACAATTAAACGCACAGTTCTTCATTGGTCATAGCGCCAACTTTTATACAAGCGTGGAACACAAAACTTTTGTGCATTGTTTGGTACAAATTCTTTGGCTTTTGTTCAACGACTGTAAGAAGGGAGGACATGATATTGATGATAGAAACGTAAGTATTTAGGCAAGTTATTGTGTAGTCTATCAAATCAGCGTGTTGAATTACTGTAGATTTTTGCTGAGGTGTAACGCCTAAATTCTTATAAAACATGGCTGTGCGGAACCTTCTGTAAGCATGGCGGTTCGTTTCGATGGTTGGTACGTCGAGAGATTATGCGTTGCTGACATTATTATTCATACCGTTAGCTGTGGGTATCTTGGTAGCTTACAATGAACTCAACATTAAACGTGAAGCATTTCTTTTGCATTTCTTTTTTTCTTTCTTTCTTCCCTTCTTTCTTTCTATATGGCTGTCTGGTCGCATACGCCTATGCGCTTTTGTGGACGTCTCCTTAGATTGGTACATACTAAGACTGGCATGAGGAGTTCAGCGTGCACCGCACACGATTTGCACGTCATGACATGAACGACGTGAATTGCGTCCAGCATATGTCATGAAACCCTCTTCCCCAATCATTATCGGCAGATATTGCAATGACACGTCCCTTGGTATGCAGATATGCGCGACGGTAGATTTTCACATTATATCAACCCAAGAACACCGAAAACTTGTAGACATCGTAAATCTGAACGGAATCGTAACAACTCCTGGCCATCCAGATGGCTCATGATATTGCAGCGGGTTTATGTCTGCCAGTTTCACCACGTGTGAGTCATCAGCTCATCTAAGGTCCCCTCAGACTGCAGTTCTCCAGAACCTCGATAGAGCTCGTAGCATGTCACGTGGGCATTTGTAAGCCCGTGTTGCAGAATATCCATTGCCGAAATCAACAGTCTGTTCGATGAGCCAATGATCTATCTTGATGGCTGCAGAGAATAAAGACATTCCAATTCAAGCCGGAAAAGAACCAAGGGATCTTCTGCATGGCAGTTAAATATTCTGCCACAGAGTCACGTCAGTATTTCAAACGACTTGGGAAAAAGATCTTATACTAGCGTCACGTTGGTTCAATGCCTATTGCAGCCGCAGAGTTGACTATCCACTTACAATGAACTGAACATCGACTTCGTAAGCCACAGTCAATCGTGGCCTGAATATATGCCGATGACCGCTGCTTATGATGTGCGCATCACTGAGCTGTAGCGTGCACCACTTCGCGATAAAGCTGACGTCACCTTAACGTGCGCGCCAACCTAACGTCAGATCATGAGTTACCCTTCCCACACCGGTGCAGTCGACGTGCCTTGTAAGGCTGTGATGTGTTAACTACTAAATTTACACAAAGACTTTGATGCACCTAGTAACGCTCGGTTCAAAGTGAAAAATTCTGCATAGGCCGCTACTCGCTGACTGTCTCGCATGAGATTGATCCCCACAATGCGTGGAAGCTACCACGATTTTTTATGTTTGATGCGCCTTTGATTTCGTTGCTGTTTTCGTTGAATACATAGTGTTTGTATGTGGGGTTTAACGTCCCAAAACTACCATATGATTCTGAAAGACGCCGTAGTGGAGGGCTCCGGAAATTTCGACCACCTGGGGTTCTTTAACGTGCACCCAAATCTGAGCACACGGGCCTACAACATTTCCGCCTCCATCGGAAACGCAGCCGCCGCAGCCGGAGAATCCATAGTGTTATTTAGCACAAAACGACACTACAAAAAAGAAGAAGAAACACAGCGTTGTGTTCGGTGTTGTTTCTTGTGGCGTTGTTTTGCGCTAGAAAACACGATATAGATTCACACCAACTAGCCCGTCAACGAATCCTTTGGGCGTCATTTCAGCGCTTCGCCTTCACTACAAACGTCAAAGCAACCAGTCCAAAAATCTGCGCTCTCGCAGGTACATCACAGTCATCCTTAGAAATCTTGTCCGTGAGGATTCAAATTTGGCTAGTTGGAATCTATTCATGATGGCCACCGCAAGCAGAACGCACTGCAAGAAAATGAAAGACAGCAGAAGTGATCTGACATCTTTAATTTTCTTGCCCTGCGTCCTGTTCCTGTTGGCCATTATGAATACTCCACGTCACTTCAGTAACATGACCCCCCAAAAATTGGGGAATCCTTAAGCTTCGCCTTTAAGCGTTGAACGCGATACCGAAATCCGGCCTCTAGTGCACCCTTCAACCGCTAAGTGCATACTTATTCATATGTTTTCTTACATACATACGCACGCACGCACACGCACACAGTAAATTGGACCAGCGCGTGCTATTATCGCCGAATATGCTCGTTTTCGTCATGACACCTGTCGAACAAAATGTGTTAAAGGGGCCCTGAAACACTTTTTCAAGTAACCATGAAATGAATGCATTAGAAGAGCTTATTGCCTCACGAATTCAACGCCGCAAAAGCTTTGAGAATCCGTCCAGTGCGAGTGGAGTTACAAAAGTTTGTCGCATGCTGCAATTGCATTATCTCTTCTCTCTTCCCGACGAAAGCGCTGAAAGCGAAGCAGAAAGGGGTGGCAGGGCAAAGAAACTACCGTGCCTCGTGACCTTGAGCACTTTTTTTTTCGAATGCGCGGCTTTTTCAGTGTGATCATGCGCGCACGCGTGGACAAGTAGCGGTCTCCCGCGGCTAATCTCGGTAACTTGATTTTTCGGTCACATACGCACAGACGATTTTTCGCTCACAACCAACGGGGCCGACGCGGGCAGCGGGTTTTGTGCGACACGAGCTCTCTAACGCTATCGCGTTAAAAATAATCTTAAGGGCGAAGCTCCTTACGGTCGAGCCTTGCCCTCCCGTTGTCCCTTGTCCTGGCTTGCACGCGCTGGGAGCGCCGGCGGTCAGCGCACCGATCTTACCTTGAAGGGGAGAAGGACGATCGCGGGTGTGCTCGTGGCACGCTGTTTCTTTCGCTGCGGCGCCCCAAGAGCTATAAAACGCACTCGCTCGCGGTCCGCTCTCTCATGGTCATGGACGTGCACGTCGTTGCGAAAGAAAACACGACGGCGCGGAGCGCGGCGATCGCAGTCCAGAGTTACGGGCTCGCAGAGCGGTTGCGGCATATCAGCGCAGACAGAATCCAGACTTGTGGGCTCGCGAAGCGGCAGCGAAACACCAGCGCCGGCAAGCCGACCCGGAGCAGAGGGCTAGCGAAGCTGCAGCGGCACGGGAACGACGTCATATTTCAGGTTGGATCCCATACAAGATCCCATATAGCTTGAGATTCAACCGATCAGAAGAAGGTGGTCATAATGAAATAAAAACGCCGCCCACATCTCAACACCATTTGCGTGGGGTAGCTTGGGCTAGCTGGTATGACATGGCAGTTATAGCGCGAGAACAGAACGACGACACAGAGACAAGAAGGACACGAAGGACACGACCATATGCGTGTTGTGATTAATAACAGTGTTGTGATAATAATACTGTACGCACGTGTCGCCACGTATTTTCATGACCGAGTGGCCAATGTATGTGGGTTAATGATCCCCCGGAGCTTCGCCCACTAGCCATCATTTACTTAGTTGATATGCTGTCATTTTTGTTCCTTTGCAGGTACTTCCCTATTGGCGTGGTCTTCCTTCTCAGCGCCTCCATCGGTCGTGGCGATGATCTGGGAGAGCAGGCCATTAACGTCGGCGCATACATAGGCACCGTCATGACGGGCCTGGCCATCCACTCGCTCATCGTGCTTCCCCTCATATACTACTCCTTCGTTCGGAAGAACCCGCTCGTGTTTGCCAAGAACCTGCTCCACGCATTTGTCACAGCTTTCGGCACATCGGACAGGTGAGGAAACCTTTAGGCTAACTTTGTTTTAGAGTAAGGGCCACCACTGTAAGGGTTACCATTGTAGTAAGGGTCACCATTGTAGGGTCACCACTGTAGAAGCTATGGGTTGAACACCGTCACTCACAAACTTCCAGATTAGACCTGTTTTGATTTCAAATGATGTATTGAGGCCGTCGCTCACGGGTGTCGTACATTTATCAAGGCGAATGCCTTAGATGCCTTAAAAGCACGGAAATTGACCGCCGTGCCGCATCGGTGTCCCACGTCTGTGGCATGAACACGGGGATGCATAAAATCACGTGATCACGTCGTGACATGACGTCACAAAGCTCCGGATTTCGTGACATCATATTGGGGCGTAATCATATGACATATTTGCTTGGTCAAAGGTGGGCCAATCCGGGAGGCAATGCAAAACAAGGCAAGTTGCAGAAGGCTTACAACGCTTCCGATCTTGGAGGCATCGCGAAACCGCGTTAGTTGCATGAAGCTTTCGTAGGAGCGCATGGGGGGTTTAACACATTGATTTCTAAGGAAAAAAGGGAATAAATGGATTTCGCCTTTGAGTCGACTGAGGCCGACGCATTAGGGACCGCGTCCGTTTTTGAGTCTGCTGTATGGAAACCCTTCACATAGTTGGTAGCAAGGAGAATAAAACGAATTTGACAAAGGCTGGTAGTTATATTGTGTGAAAAAACTAGAAAATTTTTCATCTTAGATTAGAATTAGATCATAATACACTCATAGGGAGCGTTAGTCCTGCAGAGGACATGAAAAATTTGGTAGATAACGAACACGCAGTTGTGAGGAATATAAAGTATATTCCCTGCGAGTGGCTTACAACACGTAAGCCACTCGCAGGGAAGCGATACGAAAATTGTCAAGCTTCCCATTTGATTGGGCGTTCCATTTCTTTCTTTTAGCTCAATTGGTGTCAAGCGATTATTTTAATGTATCTTTTGCGGGAACCATCATGATATGTACATTTGAAACACATTACGTTTTTCCGGTAAACGAGTTTAACACTTGGGAAACAAACGCGTCAGGGATTTGTACAGCGTTGTTTCACGCCTACTTCTATGAAGTTTCCCCAACTACTACCGATCTTTCTGTGGTGTTTAGCTGACTGCTCTTCTTTGTCGCAGCGTGGCGACGCTTCCCGTGACGTTCATGTGCCTCGAGCAGAACAACAAGCTCGACCGGCGCGTCACGAGGTTCGTGGCGCCCATCGCTTCGGCCTTCAACCTCGACGGCACCGCCCTCTATGCCGCCATCGGAACCATATTCATCGCCAACCTAAGTGGCATCGAGTTGGACTTCGCGCACTACTTGGCCATAACGTACGCTCTTTTCTCCGCCTTACCCACTCTTAGCTCGCACACTTGAACCACTATAGAATATCGACAACATCTAACGGTTAATTAAAGTAGTACCGATACGAATTTTAAACGTTCTGGGATTGTTGCTATAAATGAGAACACAGGTTTTAGGAACTATAGAAAGATGACTGTAGTGCTTGGGCATGCATGCCATATATGTTTAATACCGCAACGTTTAAAAAAGACACTTTCGCCCCACCGCGGTGCTCTAAAGGATAAGGTACTCGGCTGCTGACCCGCATGTCGCGGGATCGAGTCCGGCTGCGGCGGCTGCATTTCCGATGGAGGCGGAAATGTTGTAGGTCCATGCAGTCAGATTTGGGTGCACGTTAAAGAACCCCAGGTGGTCGAAATTTCCGGAGCCCTCCACTACGGCGTCTCTCATAATCATGTGGTTGTTTTGGGACGCTAAACCCCACATATCAATCAATAAAAAAAAAGACACTTTCGGTTTCGAATAGAGGGAGCGAATTCTCCGTGACGTGTCATGGTAGCGTCACGTCACGGGGAGACAGTGATTAGTGACGTTTTAGCGGCAGATCGAGCAGCTCTTCGGCGTACACGTGAACAAAGATGAGCGCATTGTCCCCAGCGAACCAGACGGGGATATCTGTGGTTCAGGCTGCATTCAGAACTCAAGAGTTCGCTATCTCGGTGCAACTAGTGTTGACTCACCGGGATAATATCCATTGTGGTTGGGCTGGATTGCTGATGACTCACCGACGAATACTTTCAAATCAAAGAGAATTTGTTATTTAATCAGTAGCAATAAAGCCTGCAAACTTTGACGAGGCAAAACAGTAGATGACCGTGTACTGTACCATGTCAGCGCCCGTTAATGAACAAGGAGGTCGAAATTTCTGGAGCCCCGCTCTACGGTCTCTCTAATATTGATATCGTGGTTTTCGGGCGTAAAACCTCATATATTACAATAATAATAACTTTTATGCCTAATGTAATGAATATTTATGTGAGAATCCATCGGTACGCTTATATGCTTTAGGGTACGTACTTCTTTTTTGTAGTATCAGAGTTCCAATAAAGTATATCGTTTGTCAAATAAATGATGAATACGTCGTCAGCAGTGCACATAAAATGATTGTTCTGCGCTTTCCATTGCATTTCAGCGTCGCAGCTGCCCTGACTAGCTTCGCGAACCGAGGGATACCCAACGCAGGAGTGATCACGATGATCCTTGTGCTGAAAGCTGGCGGCATCGGCCCGTCTCACATCGGGCTTCTGTTGGCCGTCGACTGGATCATGTAAGTTTGTACCGGGTCCCTCATTTTGCTTCAAACGGCGAAGGGGGATTTATTCAAATGTACTTGGATCTGCGTAGCAAGATATTTCAGGAGTCAATGTATACGTATACACTTAATATACTACGCGAGAAAGAGATTGTACATTGAATAAGAAAAATTGAAGACAAATAGATCAAGAAATCATACAGTTACCGAAGTTTGGCTGTCGTTCCGCAAATTAAACATTTGGCAACTAACGCAGGCAGCCATCGATACCGTTCAAAATGTCAATAATGAGGAAAAAAAAACTTAAGCAATCAGTGAAGGATTTCGAATGAACTATGTTAACTCGATGACTCATTCTGACAACTCGAGATGAAGGGTTAGCAAAAAGAATAGGCGTGTAGCAACATCGTCATCGCCATATGTCATCATGGCCATTTTACTTACACCACGCCGCGCCTTTCAAGCAACTCACGCTAGGGCTCGAGGCGCGAGCCAAGAAAGAACGAACCAATTCTTTTGGTGGACTGGGCACCGCTGGCACCTAAATAACTCTGATCTACACGGGCCTGATATAATGCAGTCACCTTTATGCCTCTATTGCGATGAGAGTGAATCCCTGGATCATTTCTTTCTTAGGTGCAGATTATTTACCGTACAGAGGAAAAGACTTCGAGATGAACCGCTTCGAAGGATGAGATTAAATTTATTCCTTCCTGTGTTTTTTTTTTTGGCTACCGTGCTGGATTTTAGGCATAGGAATGTTTGCGAAGCCGTATGCCATTTCTTATGTGAGACGACGCGAACTGAATTCTAAGTTAATTGAAATAAAGCATATTGTTACACGACATAGAAACGAGATAGCGCCATGTAGACGATAAGGACGACGAATGCGATCGTGCTCGTGTTGTTGTCGTTGTTCCGCCGTCTTGGCTGCAGCTGCCTTTGACTCTCCCTGTATATTTTGTAAATATATTTTTTTCCATTCATACTCTCAATCTGTGACATTTGATAGAGGTTCCAGCGTTTGCAGGCCACGAAACGTCGACGTATCGCTCGACCTTTCACTCGACTTCCCCACACAGCAGCAACATGGTCGTGCGAAGACGGACCTGCACTACACACGTCGCTAGCTGCAGAGCACATGACCAAAACCATCATACGTCAACTTGAAGTTCTGTCTTCTGCGCCCACGTGCTCGCATGCCTGTGACTCCCGCCCTCAGATGGTGCTACTGGTGCTTGTCATTGTGCGACAAGAGCTTCTCCGTGCTAGACTGGCCTCCGAGTGCACTACAACTCGCTCTCAGCCGGTCCCCGTCGTCGGCCCCCTGTTTCGTTTGCCCAAAGTCAAAACCTTTCGGTGTGTCCTCGCAATCCATCCGAATGGGGGACTGCTGACGATACTCCGATTTGCTTCAACTGACGTCTTTATAGGAAACGTGGCCTGTCATTGTAACAACCAGTGGTATTGGCTTCAGACATCCTATGGCAACAACCATCCCCCAGACAAAGATTATTGACGTTTTCAACCTTACCGAGAATCACCTCAGACTGTCGAATGACCACAGGACATGGAAGACGCTCTTTCCACGTTGCCGTATCTTTGTCGTTCACCATCTCCGAATGCTCACCAATTCCGTTCACCGCTCTCCCATCGCCTGTCGTCTCGCTTGCCCCAATTTCGCCATCCAACGTCGCTGACTGAACACCTGCCGCGGGAGAACTGGATGATGCAGCTCCCAGAGGTGATGTGGCATCGACCACATTCCTGTCAAATCCTCTGACCATGCTGCCGACTAAACGCAACCTTATTATTGTTGAAGTGGACGGCACACCCGTCGTTGCACTTATGGACACAGGGGCTCACATATCAGTCATGAATTTGGAACTTTGTTGCCGCCTTAGGAAAGTTTAAACGCGACCCACAGTATCACTCATTAAGGTCGATGACGATTGCACGTTTTCCGTGCTTAGAAGGTGCTCCACGCGTGTAAGTGCTGCCGATCGTTTCTAGACCGTTCTGTTTTCTGTGCTCCAGAAATGCTCCCACACTTTATCCTCGGCAAGGACTTTTTATTCACCCTCTCTGTCCTGATTGATTGTGGAACTGGCGTGCTTCAAATTGATTTAACGCGTTACCATGACGACCCAAGACCAGCTCAACCACGTCTGTATTATGTAGATCACGTTCGCCTAACACCTCAAGCCATTACCTACATGAACCGGAGGTCTTACCCTCCGCTTCCCGGCGGTGATTACCTGTTGACACGTATTGCTAACGTCTTACTAGCCAGAAATGTTTCTGTTCCTCACACACTTTTGACGGTCACGGGAAATGCAGCATCTCTTGCGATCCTAAACTTCAGCTCGTGCGCTAAAGTTAGCCCAGATGGCATGACTTTGGCAAAGGTCTCTTCTAACAATGTTGCCATTTCGGCGTTCGTTACTGACACTTCTTCGTCCTATGCTCCATTCTCCTCCTCGCAGAGCGCAGAGGATGCCAAAGTCAACAAGATGATCGCTCCGGACCTCCTTCCAACACAGACAGCTTATATCCGGCGCCTGCTGAAATCCTACCTAGACATCTCTGATTTTTACGACCACCCTTTGGGTAAGACATTACTCGTAACTCATAGGATTAACACTGGAGACATCAGCCCCATCCGACGACATCCTTATCACGTGTCTCTTGCGGAGTGACAAGTTATCCAGCATGAAGTTCAACAATGCTCACAAAAGACGTCATTGAAGCATCCTGCATTCCGTCGGCATCACCGGTCGTGCTAGTCAAGAAGGACGGCGGCTGGCGCTTCTGCGTAGACTACCGTCACCTAAACAATGAAGTACGTAAGGACGTGTATCCGCTGCCGCAGATTGACGATGCTCTTGACTGCCTGCGTGGGTCTGCCTACTTCTCATCTATCAACTTACAATCAGGATACTGGCAGATTTCTGTCGGTCATCAAGACCGCGAGGAAACCGCATCCATTACACCGGATGGACTTACCCAGTTCAAGGTTATGCCATTCGGATCATGTAATGCCCCAGCTACATTTGAAAGGACGACGGACTCCCTCCTGCGTGGATACGAATGGTACAAGTGCCTGTGCTATTTTGATGACGTCATCGTACTTTGACCCACATTTGAAAGCCACCTTAGCCGCCTATCGGCTGTTCCTAAGGTTTGCTGGACCGCGGGCATTCAGCTCAACTGTTCCAAATGTCGTTTTGTTCGCCGGTAAACCACTGTAGTGGGTCACCTTGTCAATGCTTGAGACGTGCAAGGTGGCCCACCACCACCACCAATTCCCCGTACCACGTTCCGCAAAAGATGTACGGAGCTTTATCAGCCTGTGTTATTACTTTAGACGTCTTGTGAAGAATTTCGCAGATATTGCCCGACTACTTACGGACCTTCTGAAAAAGTACACGACTTTTTATTGGGGTACTGACCAAGCAACTGCGTTCAGCACTCTTACAACATTACCTACTTCCCCACCCATCTTGGCTCATTTCAACTCGTCATCCCATACTGAAGATCCTACCGATGTCAGCGGACATGGCATCGAGGCTGTTCTCGCCGAGCGGCAACGATGACAGGATCGCGTCATCGCGTATGCCAGTCGCCTCCTTTCTCCTTCGGAGAGCGAGTTTACCATCACAGAGCGTGAGTGCCTCGCACTAGTCGGGGCGGTCGGAAAATTTTGACCATACTTCTTTGGCCGCACCTTGTCGGTAATTACAGATCACCATGCACAGTGCTGGCTGTCATCCCTCCAGGATCAAAGCGGACGACTAGGACGTTGGGCCTTGAAACTTCAAGAATACAGCTTTGACGTGGCATACAAATGTGGCATAACGCATGAAAATGCCGACTGTCTATCCCGTCATCCCGTGGACCCACCCAATTTTTAGCACATGATTCTGATCCTTGTGTCTTCGCCATATCTTCTTTCACCGCCATACGCAAGGAACAGCTTAGCGATGTCTACTTGTGGTCTATCATGCACCGTCTACGTTTGCTACACGTAGGCCCGTCGCTACACTTGTTCGTTCTACGTTATGGAATTCTTTCCGACGCAACGCCAGCGCTGAGGGACCAGAGCTACTACTGGTAGTTTCTGCGACACTCTATTCCGCTGTCTTTGAACAACTTCACGACGCCCCAACCGCTGGACATCTCGGGCCCACGTACAATCGCGTGCGGCATCGATTCTTCTGGCCAGACCCGACCGTTCTGTACGCCGAGACATTGCTGGTTGTCAGTCCAGCCAGCGCTCTGAACATTTTAATTTGTCACCAGATGACCCACCCTAACCAATAGACATCTCCGCCATTCCCTTCTACCACGTCGGTCTCAATCTCGTTGGTTTATTTCCTACGTGTCTGACTTGAAACAAGTGGATTGCCATATCTAGTGACTACGCCACACAATACGCTATTACGCGAGCGCTACCGACAGCCTATGCTTCTGAGGTTGCGGACTTCTTGCTTCATGACGTCATTCGTCACCATAATGCTCCTCTACAGCTGCTGACCGATCGTGATCGCTCATTTCTTTTAAACATCGCAAGCGACATCCTTCACTCGTATTCAACGCGCCACAAGCTGACTACGGCCTACCACCCTCAAACAAATGGTCTTACTGAGTGCCCCCTCACGACACCGCTGGCTTTTATCCCTTCTTTTACAGTGAAAGCTGTTCTAAGATCACAACGCGGGTCACGCGCGGTGCCGTCACCACCGGTGTCCGTAATCACTATCATACTAAACAGAAAAAAAAACTCGGGACACACTGGGGCTCGAACCCACGTACGCTGCCTGCTAGCCCAGTATTCAGAGGCAGCCACTCCGCTGTTTGGTACTTGTTCCCGAACTTTCCTACGACAGGCATGATGTCGGGAATGGAATCGCGTTATAAGTATGGAAGCGTTTTAGAACAGTGAAGAAACGACCATACCTCACACAATGGAAATAGCGTTACGAGTGGGTCGTCCGACGCTCCAATCCATTAAAAATCTTCTTTATCACCTATTAACTGTGGCGCATACCCACTTCAGGCATAATGCCTCATTGTCGTAAGCCACTGCATGAACAATTGGCATAAGTACCTTGCAAGTGTTTAGTGGAAAGGGAAAATCAATAAATCAATCTCCGTTTTCGGCAGTTTGAAATGAAGAGGCGAAACTTATACACGGCCACGTCGGCCACCTTCCACGTCTCCAAAGTTCCTAGCTACTCGTGGACCGTTAAATGTTTTCCCATGGGGAATTCCATGCATCTGGACAAGGCGGTCACAAGTACGTCTGTGGGCCAAATGTCTTAGCTGTAGCCTCTTAGCTTGTACTTTGGTGGAAAATGGCGATCAGAACGGTTACATATGGATCTAATGGCTTTCTTCTTAATAGACTCTATCGTATTTGCATATTTGCCATGATGTGCTGACCACACGATGAACGCGTACTTAAGTAGAGGCCTTAACAGTGATCTTCGATTACATGTGGATCTAATGGCTTTATTCTGAATACACTCTATCGTATTTGTATATTTTCCATGATGTGGTGACCACACGATGAAGGCGTACCTAAGTAGAGGCCTTAACAGTGATCTTCATGCCACCAGTTCACGTTCTTTTCTTGCATCTCTGAGGTTTCTCTTGTGATAAAAACTCAGTGAACTGAACATGTGTCATTTGGAACGCGCTATTCAGTATGTTATAGAGGTATGGTCTTGTGCGGCATGGCTAAACGAAGGGCAGCTGGAGATGATGCTTGTGATATCTAGCACCTTATCATTATCATTATCATTATGTCATCATTATCCAGCATCTAAAAAGATTTTCATAGCCATGGACACAAAACTCGCCGTCATAACTTTTCATATTCCCCCACTGCCAATATAAAAAATGACGTTGGTGAGCTAGCTCGCGCAATACAAATGAATTTGGAAGACTCCTTCATTTTCTCAATATTGCCGCATTTCATTCTTCATTAGAAAGATTTCTAAAACTACGGAGTTCACAGCTATTTTATCACCTGTGAGTAGGAAACTACACATTTGTCGAACATTTTGTGCGTGTTTGCCTTTTCAACTGCAGGAACCGCTGCCGCACCTGCGTTAACGTCTTCAGCCAGTCCATAGCGGTCGCCATAGTTCATCACTCTGTAGAGATGGAGTTGAAGAGGAACCAGAACGCCCTGGAGCACTGGCCCGTTGACGAACTTACCCTGGAGAGGAAGAAGTACACGACTCAACGCTAAATACTGTACGCATTGCGGAGCACGCGAATAACTTGCCATATATGTACGGACGGGTCCACCTTTAAGATACTCGCGTGCGGGATACGTACAGTCACGCGTATTGTGAACCTTATCGCACGAGCGTCGACACTGGTAACGTCCCGGAGACCCATAGCGGCACGTTTCGGCAGTGCGAAAATTGAGATTGTGCGTTTTTTTTTCTCTCCCTCGTTCGCTGCCCCATGCCAAAACGAGCAACCCTACAACGAAGTCTGCAACCTTTCTCTCTATTTTGAGCCTGCGTTTCGCTGCGATCAAAGTGTATTTTTCGTGGGGCGTTATCTCCGCAGATGATTACAGACGGGAGTGATCACAGCCCTAAGAACGAGCGAAAGGTGTGAGTGAAATATACTCCTGTAGAACTTGCTGTTAGGCTAGTTGGTGCATGTCTGCATTAAATAGTATATTTCCCGTCTTGCCTATGTGTTTTCTTAGTTTGGGTGGTCGTGACTTTTCGGCGCAGGAATCGGCCATTTAATTCAGAGTGAGTGAAGCTTGCGCGATGCCTGCTTCTCCTTGGGAGAGCATTCTGGGACGTGGTTCTGTGGTAATGGTTCTGTGGTAGTTATTGGTCGACGCTCGGGCGGTAGCCTTCACGTCACGCGTGACCGCACATATTTCCCTATCCCGCAAATCCAGATTTAAAATACCGCAGAGTACGACAACAGAAAGTTCTGCTGTTGTTACCCTGTCTGTCGCGAGGCTCTGTTGAGACTATGTTGTGTCAACGGGTGTCTGTAGGGCAACAAAAATTATTTATGGCGTTATTTCAGGGATAGTTTTGTTGGGACAATACATTTTTTCTACGCTCCTAAAAACGGTGGTCGTACTACTTCAGCTACCTGCCATGTAACAACACACAGGTGACAGAACTTACCATCGTCATGACAACAATGTTGATTGCAAAGTAGATAAGTCAATCGCTGCGTTAGGAAGCTGTAGTAGCTACAGAGACATCCTCTTAAAACAGCGGCAACTTCGTTGATTTTGATCGACAAAGCGTTGTTTTGATTTTGATTGACAAAAGCAACTTCGTTGATTTTTTACCTGACAAAGCGTTGTGGCCTTAATTTGCATAAGCCTATACTACGTTTCATACATCAGGTGCAACGCTCTGGAAAGCTAGCAAGACTTGTTGCAGTCGATGCGTTCACAACAATAAGTAGTCGATGTTCTTACCACCAAAAATTTCAATTTTTATTTCGTTATTGAAGCGATAAGTAATTGAAGATATGATGTGCCTTACAAAGAAAAACGCCGTTGAACGTCTGTTATTATGTGGCTGTATATCTTAGTTTTTCCGTGACGTCACACACAGGCTCTCTACTGTGATTACGTCACGATGGCGGTCACCTGGACTTTCAGCGCCAGTGCATGATGGGACACCACGGGGTCGTTCGGCATCCGCGTTCTTTTGTGCTCACCCTACTTTCTTCTGTTCGCCAGTCGCGCCAAAGGGGAACACAAATAAACGCGAGGGTGCATCGGTGCTAATCGGATGTCACACGAACGATCACGAAACGCGCAGAGTTATATACGTTTTGCTGGCCAATCTTTTTGTACTTCTTCCACAGCGTTGCACCTGATGTATGCAACAGAGTATACTGCTGGTTGACGTTTTCGACTCCCTTTGACAGACTAGTGTCGCGCGTGAAGTCCGTTCCCATAATTATCTGCAGTTAGTGACAAAAGCAGTACGAACGCTGTTCGTTCGAGTGTTCCCTTTAAGTAAAAGTGGACCGCAGCGTACAACAATGACCTGAAGGAATAAGCTCACAAATATCATCACTGCATCGGTCTCCCTGAGGGGTTCGTTTACGGCACATCAGTTGCCTTCCACTGTTAAAATAAAGAAAAAACACTTCGGCAAATAAAATTCATTACATATCCATCACAAGCGAGGACCTGCACTACAAATAACTGCACACGCACAGCCACAGTTGAGATGCTCACTGCCGAACAAGCTAGGAAACCAAACCAAGTTGGACGAAAGTCCACATGTTCATCTATTGGTATACAACAACCATTGTCACATTAGCCAAGTTTCTATACTTGAACGCGTCACTTTATTCAACCTTCATAATGGAGCCTCCATTATCACACCGGCCATAACATGCAACTCTGTACTACAAATAGGACAACGATCGAATAAGACGTGTATTTTTTATATGGAGTACGAAAGTGTGCAGGGTATTTTTGTGTTTTCTTTTGCTGGTGTCATCGCCATCAACGCACCGCGCACCATTAAGTAGTGCATTAAGTAACACCACCACAGAGCATCTGTCGAATAAGTATTTTTACGTGAACAACGTAATAATATGTCGTCGTATTAGCTGATTCAGTCTCTGTCACTACGTACGGCAAGGGCTTTCGTACTTGCGTTCGCCGTCGCCCTATATTCACCCAGTCTAACGTGAAAGTCCGTGTACCATGTACCGAATAAAAGCTTTTGTTGTAGTTTTCATACGTGTACGTGCCTACGAAGGACGAAATCCTTACAGACCTTTTTTAAAAAAACCCTCTTTCAGTGGGCAGGATTGTGATAAGGGGGTTGTTTTGTTAGACGACTTCAAGTTTGTTTTAAGTGCTCGCAACAGAGTCAATAGCATTGGCGTTTGTGATAAAAGCAGGGATGGGCTAGGTAAATTAATGAGCGAAAATGACTTGGACGGTGGGTGGGGATGTGTCGAAGCAAATTGCGAGGTGATGTAGACGCGATTTCAAATCGGTTGTCATGCGCGGTTAGACGACATGCACCTATGTCTAGATATTTTGTCCATGTGTGACGATTTCTCAGTTGAGCCAGTGCATCCTTTTCAGATAACTGTTTGGTTGTGTGTTGCATAGTCACGACGAAACTGCGTAGGGCTTTAAATTGGGATTTATGGAAACTGAACGCGGTGTTATTAAAAGATTAACCATTTTTAGAAGCATTTCTACAAGCTGTAGTATAATAAAGTGCTTGTTGGAAAAAAAACGAACACTGTAGCAGAGAAATCGGAGTTTTCAAAGCAGAAGTTCAAAATAAAAGCGCTGGACATTCTAGCGCATTAAAATTCGAAGCACAAAAAAAGAAAGTCGTCTGAAGAAAACACTGCCGCAACTGCCATAGCCCTCGAAAGTCGGTAGCGTGGGACTTGTAAAGACGAGGTGCGCAGTGTGAGAGAAAAATTGGAACAGTATGACAAAGAGTGTTGTCAAGGCGCCTATCCCCGTATTCTAGAACGTCCCTTCACTCAACGCTTCACCTTAACTTGAGAAAGCCGATGGAAGCGCCCTCTCCAGGCACGGCAAGTCACTCTATACTAGCGATAATGTGGTGAGATTCTTGAGCAGTACAGCGTCATTTTCAGCCGAGCAGCAGCGCAGTACTCAACTCAGTCAAGTGAAGGGTCGAGTCGAGGAGCGTTTGTGAATACGTGGGTAAGTACGCGCTCAAGAAAATAATCTCCGCGGTGTGAGGGCGACGCCCACTAAAGAAAGCGCTTGGTCTCTTAAAGTGTAAGGATGCCGAAACCATGTCGATACGGTCTATTGCAACTTGCCTCTCGCAAGCGGCCATGAAACCATCGGGCGGGCTTTTTTTTTTTTTTGACTACTATCAGTTACTTTTTGCATTTCAAAAAGCGAATCAACATTGTTTTAGAGAAGAGTTTCTTCGGCGTATCCCGCGGCTTAGTGACGACATGAAAAAGGTTTGAGAAAGCAAAATGACGGAAGGCGGAGTGAATTGCGTGATGGATCATCTGAACCCCGGACAATCACCGGGACCCGATGGCCTAACCTCTGCGTGGTATAGGACGTTTAGAAAGGATTCGTCCACATGGTTAGCTAAACTGTTCGATGAGGCGTTTGAACGGAAAACTCTGCTGCCTTTTTTTAGCAAAGCTCATATTAATTCACAAAACGGATGACGTGGAAAAACTTAAACTGGTGACATCGTGTGGACCCATATCTTAAGCGATGTTGACTACAATAATTTTATGACGGTTCTGGCTGCGCGACTTTTGGTGTCATTAAATAAACTGTTACGGAGCCCCAAACGTGTGGAACCAAAAGCAGAACTAGTAGCTCAAACATTCCCAAGATCCGGTCCGTCCTAGTTTGTGACGAAAAGTTACTTTGCTTTGCTGCGCTCCACCTAAACCAGGAGAAAGCTTTTGATTGTGTTACGCATGATATTTGTTTGTCATCTTAGATTTAATTATTGTTGGTTTTATCATCAGGACGCGAGTGGCCTTGGCGTACTGCACAACACGTTTAATTGTTAAAAAGTATTTCGGGACCCCCATTCACGTATTGTGTCCTGTGCGTCAAGGCTGCCCCCTCAGTTCACTTTTTTTTTTGTATTCACATCGAAGCGATGATGCTTACCGATAAACGAAAGCGATCAAATACGTGGCTTCTGCTTGGCGGCGGCGGAAGTTAAGCTGCTGGCGTATACGCAGAAGACATTACAGTGAGTTGTACGAACAAAGAAAGTCTACACTCTAAAAAAAAGAGCGAGTAAAAAGGGTGTCTTTTTGTCCCACAACAATAATCGTCCTCTATATTGCGTTCCATGCTTGCGCTATTGCCCCGCGCCCGGTACATTCCGGTCACGATTGACATGTCCATTATCAGGGTTACGTTGCATTCTCGATAGGAATGTGGCCAGCGCAGAGTTTTCAAGAAAGGAAGCGCACGCAAGCCTGATGGCGATTGTTGTAGTGGGACAGAAAGACACCCTTTTTACTCGATATTTTTTTAGAGTGTAGAAGAAACGATAGGTGTGGCGAATTATTTTTGTAACGTCACAGGAAGCCGCGTAAAACGGGAGAAATCTCTGGAGGCTTTCGCACGAGAAGGGGCCTTCAAAACCGGAGCATTTTGCGAACGTCTACTCGACGGAAACACCGTCGAGCTGCTTTGAAGTTCCTTTTGAACGCTATACACAGGGGCGGCGCCAGGATGTTTTTACTGGGGGGGCAACCACGAAAAGTGAGTTCCTCCGGGGGGGCAAGCTAGCTCTGCTCCTACTAGGTTTTCAATATATGCTTCCGGGCACTTAGGTGGGCATAGGGGGGGCAGGCGAGAATTTTGGGAGGGCTCAAGCCTACCCTTGCCCCCCCCCCCCCCCTGGCGCCGCCCCTGGCTATACACCTTTTCCCAGGAGCACTCTCGAACCACTTAGCTGCAGGGGGTCGAGGGTATGTTCTCAATGTTGCCAAACCGTGCCTTGGGCTGCGCACGCCAAACCTGCACTCGTGGTAAGCTTGGATGTAGAATGTGTGATAGGCGCCACTCTCTGGAAAAAAAAAGAGTGATTGTCATGGCAGGAAATTGTGCATATTCGAAGATCAGACGACACAGGCCAGCACCGTGTCGTTTACGGGTGTAGAAACAATCAGCGCAAGAGGAAGAATTTTGGTGAAATCA